CCCATCATCGCCTCCTCCATCTCCCTTTTGGGCATCGTCGGATCCTGTCCAAGGGGGGCAAGAAGGGCAAGGGGCCGACGCGGGCACGAGGGATAGAGGAGGGCGGGGCCGGTGTCTGCTCAAGACGATAGGAAGATGGTGATGCTAGCACCAACGTGGGAGTAGCTACGCTTTTATTGCAAGATGATTCACGGGTGGGAAAGTAGTCTCGCCACTGTTATTAGAGTGGAAGAGGTCGCTTATGGGGAGAGGATGAGACAAGGCTGGCATTAGCAACGGGAGCCCCCGTCCAATCATGGGTTGATTCAAGAGTGGGGCGGCAAACCCGTTTGCAATGTCGAAGCACATGGGCTTTCAACTGTTAGATGGAGTGGAGCGTGGAGTTGGCCATTTCTACCAGAGCCACCATGAAGACCTTGATCCCAACAGAGATCCCCAATCTATGACCTTGTATGGTTCTGGCCATCATGGGAATGATCTTGAATGTGAACCTGAACCCGAGCCATTGACCGTCGGTAACTTAGTTTTGTTACTAGTTAAATTCCATCACTACATGCCGTTGTGTTCCCGTCTATAGCCACTTCATTAATCTTGAAGCAAAAGATGATGATGGTCATTTCTAACATATAGCCACCACGATGACCCAGATCCCGAGCAACCTCTCGGAGTCTACTGAGGGATGACCTTGTATGGTTCTGGCCATCGTGTTATGGATCTTGAATGTGAACTGGCCTTCAGGCTGCTGATTGTGATCAATAACTTAGTTTTCTCGGTACTTAAAAATTAGATCACTATATGCCATTGTGTTCCCGTCAATAGCGAGCTGCCTATGTTGACTTCGTCAATCTGGAAGCTTCGGATCCTGTCCAAGGGGGGCAAGAAGGGCATGGGGCCGACGCGGGCACGAGGGATAGAGGAGGGCGGGGCCGGTGTCAGCTCAAGACGATAGGACCAAATGCACTAATCCAATTGTGGTGCCCATCATCGCCTCCTCCATCTCCCTTTTGGGCATCGTCGGATCCTGTCCAAGGGGGGCAAGAAGGGCATGGTGCCGACGCGGGCACGAGTGATAGAGGAGGGCGGTGCCGGTGTCTGCTCAAGACGATAGGAAGGTGGTGATGCTAGCACCGACGTGGGAGTAGCT